CATTGTTATAGCCACCATCTGGTGTTTGCTGGAGTCAGACAGATCTGGGTTCCAGTTCAGGCTTTTCCGGTTATCAACCCAGGGACCCTGGATCAGTCACCTCCCCTCTCTGTACCTCAGTTTCCTCATCTGTATTATGGAGCCACAGCAGCCACCTGAAAGGATTGCCAGGAGGATGGGTGAGTGCCCAGCTCAGTGTTGCTCGACTGTGGTAGCTCTTAGGACAAGCTCCTCCACCCGAGCCACTTGCTGTAGAGTGTGAGGGATCCTGACTAGGACCAGGTAAGAATCATGACCCAACAGTACAGGGTTTGTGGGTGGAAACAGCAAGGCAAGCCTCTTGGGGATAGAGATTCAAAGAATTTGTGGGTACACACTCTGTTGATGGTTTCCCTTGAAAAGCAGATCGATTTTTCAGGAAGTTCCTATAATAAGCAATCAAACCATTTGCTTGGTCTGGTCAGTCAGGGAAGAGTAAGAAGGAAAAAAATGCTAATAAAAACAGTGGGATATCAAAATCAAGTTAACATGGACATTGAGGCTTTCAGTGTCGCAGTTGAATGTGGGGTGGACGTGTCCTGGTGGACACTGCGCTGGGAAGTGGGGATCCTTGTCCCTGAATTGGGATGAAGGGCAGGATCGCAGCTGGGGGAGTCAAACCTGGGCAGCTGCCACCCAGGACAGTGCGTGTGCATGGAGGGAAGGGGTCCAGTGCTCAGGGCTTATGGCTGACTGGGGCAGGATGAGAAGGAGAGACAATCCAGAGATGGCGTTAGCTTGGAGGAGTCAGGCGTGCATGGAAGGGAATGGGATCAGTTGGGCCTCGTGGTCCTGAGGGCTTGAAGTTTCCCGAAAAAGGGAAGGGCAGTGGTGCTCACTGGGGCCTACAGTGTCCCAGGCCTGAGCCAGGTGCTCTAGATGCCTTATCTCCTGGGAGTAGGGGTTGTGTCCTCACTCTGCAGACGAAGAAATAGGCTCTGAAGAGTGGAGGGTCTCATCAGGCTTACACAGCAGGTCGGTGGTGACGGGGAGAGCTGGGGTTCAGTCCCGGGTCTGAGGATTTAAAACCAACCATGTACCTAGGATTTGCTCTTAAAAAAAAAAAAAAAATTATTGATTTTTTTTTTTTTACAGAGAGGAAGAGAGAGGAGAGGGAGAGAGAGTTAGAAACATCGATGAGAGAGAATCATCAATCAACTGCCTCCTGCACACCCCCCACCGGGGATGTGCCTGCAACCAAGGTACATGCCCTTGGCCAGAATCGACCCTGGGACCTTTCAGTCCGCAGACCGATGCTCTATCCACTGAGCCAAACTGGTTTCAGCTGGGATTTGCCCTTGACAGCTGGAAGGTGATGGAGAAAGCAGGCCCCTGAGTCTTTCCAGCAAGGAGCAGGCGGGAAAGGCAGCCCTCCCTCTCCAACAGCTCTCTGAAACCTTGGTCCTCACCACCCTGACTCAGCTGGTGAGAGGGAAGATAATTCCTGTCTCTGGAGGGGGTAGCTAGAGGCAGACTCTCTGCCTTGCGGACCTACCTCCGGAGCCTCACTGACCTGGTAAACAGGGTCTCAGGGCGACTGTCTGACCAACTTGCCGGGCAGCTGCAGGCAGGTGGCCAGGCAACACCCCAAGTGGACAAGTGTCCTGAAAGGCAGCCAGACTACTGACTTGCCAGCAGATGGACACGAGTGGGCCTGTGTGTGGACCAGCCACACAGCCCACTGACCGGCACACAGACCCCTTGCCTGCTCGCTCTGAAGCTGAGGGCTCCGGCTTTTGGAACTACCTGACCTTTCTGGGGCCCCAAACTTTGATTTCCTCCCTGGAGAGAAAGGGGCTGGGATTTTTTACTGGGGTCTGGCTCCCTGCTCTTCCTTTCATTCCTACAGCTACCCGGTCCAGCCCAGGTTCACTCCCCCAGCTGCCCTTCTCCTGTCAAGGCTGGCCCCCGACAGTCTTCACGGGATGGGAAGAGCCCCCAGGATGTCACAGGAGAAGGACACACAGCTCTGGACTCAGGACCCTCCTTCTGAGGGGAGCTCTGATCTCCATCAGGGAGTTGGACTGTTTGCTGCCGGTCCCCCAGGAGAGGCCTCAGCCCACAGGAAGGGCTCAGAGGGGACTGACAACCTGTCGGACCAGCCCCATTTAGTGACCGACTGACCACTCCATACACTGACTCATGGTCTCAGAACCCAGGGGGTCGGCCCAGTGCTTCCCTCTTCTGCTCAGAGGCTCTGGTTATGGAATGGGCCACAGGGAAATGGAAGGTTCTGAGCAGGTCCTCTGACCACCTGTCCCTCTCCCTCCTCTATTTCGTGGGTTTCTTTCAGAGCTGGGCCTCCGAGTCAGTGACTTCTGCCTTCCCGGCCTCGGTGCCAGCCCATCGTCTGGCTGGCCTGGCCCCGTGGCACTGCTGTCTTCCGGGTGCCTGGCTAGGTTTGCTTGGGCTAGTGCACTGTGCTTCTTCCCCTCATCACACCTGTACAAGGAGCATCGAGCGATGGTGAGATTCACACCTGAGCTTAAGTCCCTGCATCGATGTCACCCGGCAGACCTAGTTACCACTGAGCCTCAGTGCCCTCCTCAGAAGCACAGAGACAAGGAAAGCACCAAAGCACTGAGTTGTGGAGAGCCTGCAGGAGCAGGTAGAGCATGTAGCACAGCACCTGCAGCAGTGACTCCCTGGTCTCTGCCGGTGAGGGCCCTGGGGCTTAGAATGGCCCCGTGATATCCTCTGGGAGAGTTTGTCAGGAACCCTTCCGTGAGCTTTGCAGTTTCCCTCGCTGCCCTTCACTTTTGTTTCAATATCTCTTGTTTCCTCTTGGTGTTTATGCCCCCAAAAGGCACTCCTCCCCAGCCATACACACTTTCATTTCCTCCTTCAAGTGCCTCTAACCATTTGAATGGACATTTCTCCAAAGAACATACACAGATGGCCAGCAAGCACAGGAAAAGACGCTCAACATCAGTAGCCCTTGGGGGAATGAATGCAAATCAAAACCACATGAGATGTCACTTCACACACCCACAAGGATGGGTATCATCAAAAAGTACTGACAAGAATGCGGAGAGCCGAAACTGGTTTGGCTCAGTGGATAGAGCGTCGGCTTGGGGACTGAAAGGTCCCGGGTTCAGTTCCGGTCAAGGGCATGTACCTTGGTTTCAAGCATATCCCCAGTAGGGGGTGTGCAGGAGGCAGCTGATCGATGATTCTCTCTCATCGATGTTTTTAACTCTCTATCCCTCTCTCTTCCTCTCTGTACAAAATCAATAAAATATATTAAAAAAAAAAAAGAATGCGGAGAAATTGAAGTCATCATACATTGTTGGCAGGATAAAATGGTGCAGGCACTTGAGAAAAACAGTTTGATAGTTTCTCAGAAAGTTAAACAAAGAGTTATCGGATGACCCAGGAATTCCACCCCTGGCTATATACCCAAGAGAACTGAAAACATATGTCTATGTAAAAATCTGTACGTGAATGTTCAGAGCACCTGAAACAACTCAGGTGCCCATCAACAGGTGACCGAGTAAACACAATGGGGTCTGTGCAAACAATGGAATATTATTCAGCCCTGGAAAGGCACGGAGTACTGATGTATGCTATAACAAGCAAGAACCTTGGAAGCTGTGCTAAGTGAAAGAAGCCAGTCACAAAAGACCACATAGTGTGTGGTTTCACGTATATGAATGTATATGAAACACCTGGAATAGGCAAACCCAGGGAGCCAGGAAAGAGATTAGTGGTTGCCAGGAGCTGGAGGATGGAGAAATGGGGAGTGACTGCTAATGGGTATGGGATTCCTTAGTGGGGTGATGGAAACCCCACTGGAATTAGTGGTGATGGTATATAACTTTCTGACTATACTAAAAACCACCGAATTGTGGGCTGTGTTTTATGGCATGTGAATTATATCTCAATTTTAAAAAATGTCCTCAGGCTCCCAGGTTCCGAGGAGCACAAACCACCTGCTGGTGCAGTTCCCGGCCTCCGGAGCCCCCTCCCTGAGCGTGCCTTCCAGGCCAGGGCAGAGGTGTCCTCAGATCAGTTTTCAGGCTCCAGAAGGAGCTTGTTGAATGGGAGGAAACTCCTGCAGGTTGAGAAGCATCTGAAACAATGGAGTAGGCTCCCACAGGAAGCGGAGCCCCAGCCGGGAGGAAGGCCATGGAGGCCTGGGCTGCCAGAAGGTACCGGGGGTTTCCATCTTAGTCAGGGGCGGAGTCTCCCAAGGCCGGACTTCTGGATCCTCGCTGCCATTAAACCTCAGGAGACCCTAGGAGATGCCTCTGAAGGGGCTCAGCTTCTTCTCAAGACAGTGAGTGGGATACTGACGTGATTGCTGTGGCTGCCATGGGAGAAAGCGGACCTGTGTGATGGGGCCAGTGTCCCGTTCTACCACCTCTCTGCCTCCTGAGTCATCACACCACTTGGGGCCTCAGTTTGGGGGCGGGGGAGAAGGATATTAAAAAGGATGAGTCTGAGGGCCCTCTGCACCAATCACAATATGGTTTGATATATGATTTGGGGACTGGGCTGGTTAGCTCTGTGATGGCATGCAGGGTGCTCTCCTACAGAGGTATTGATTTATTCCAGGAAAAGTCTTTATGCCCTGACTACGCACCAAGCCTGGCCCCAGACGTCTGATCCCAGGCTAAGCCAGACAGACTCAAACACAGACTCAGTCTCCAGGAGCACCCGTATGTCACTGCTCCTGCCCAAAGTGGGCGGAGACTGTGTGTCCCTGCCAATGGGCCACTGCCTGATGGTTGTGTCTCCCTAGAAGGCAGATTTATGCTAGAGATGGAGCAAAGGTGTGAAATCGGTGGCCCCAGGCAGGATCTGGCCGAAGCGGGCACAAGGAGTGCACACCCTCCAGCACCTGGGACTTGGGCATCCAAAGGTGCTTGGACTCTCGGATCCTAACCAGCCCCTAAATACCGTGGGCTGGCTGCCTGGGCTTCCATCTTCGCCTGACCCTCTGGCTGTCTGTCCCTCAGGGCCAGTGGTTACGGAGCCCCAGATGCCAGACAAGGACACCAAGGCCGTGATGGGCACAGAAGATTCAGCTGGAGACAAAGCCGGCCCGGACTCTCGGGACTTGCGGCCAAGCGTGTTCCACAGCATCAAGGTACCGCTCGGGGCCTGGCGGTGCCAGGACCAACCGAACCCGGCAGAGAAATCTCTGCCACTTGCCAGCGGTGTATCACCAAGCAAGCTGCTGCCTTCCTGAGCCTCAGTTTCCTCATCTGTAGAATGGGTGGCTGTGAGAATCAAAGGGATCATCTAGGAAAGTGCTTAGCTTGGTTTGGGGCACAGGGAAGATGCTCAGCACAAGGTCCCCGCTTTCAGGAATGAAAAAGGGGCTGCTCTGTGGTAATAGGAGACCAGTGTTTCTACCTCTTGTTTCCAGAGACCAGTGGCAAACTCATCAGTCCACAGAGCCAAATATCAACAGTACGATGATTGGAATTTCTTTGGAGAGCCACATGTTTTAAACTTAAACTTCTTCTAATGCCACTTCTTCAAAATAGACTCGCCCAGGCCGTGGTATTTTTGTGGAAGAGCCACACTCAAGAGACCAAAGAGCCACATGTGGCTCGTGAGCCGAGGTTTGCCGACCACTGGTCTGCGGGGAAAGAGAGGGGCCCAGGGGTCTGAACCTGTGTGGCATCGGGGAAGCTATGTCTCCAGCACAGGCGGCCTCAATATTCAAGCGCCCACTGGCACCTACAGGGTGCCAGTCCCTGTGCCAGTGCTGTCTCCACATGCTCTCATTTAGTTCTCACAGTAGGTGGGGGAGGAGGGGAGGGGAGGTAAGAAACATTGCCCTTGCTGTGCACAGGGACACCCGCCTCAAAAGAACAGAGTGGATGTTATTAAGCTTTGGCATAAAAACGCTATTTTTTAATTCTCTGAGGCTAGGGTTTTTTCCTCTTAGGAACTCTGCCATGTTTTTAGGAAGCGGGAGGGGATGTTTGAGGTGGGGCTGGGTGGAGGGGGGAGCAGCTTGGGGATTTGGAGGTGCAGGTTGGCTCCCAGGGGAGCTCTGAGGGCAGGTGTGGGGGTTGGAGGAGGACGTGGGGTAGCTTCCAGGAGAAAGGGGAGGGAGGTGGGCCAGTCCAGCTTGAGGGGCTCTGAGGCTCAGAGGGGCCTCTCACCAGTTTAGGCTCAGGAAGACCCTACTCTCAGTCATGTGGGTTACTTGAGACCCCAGGACTCTGAGGGTACCCTGGCAGCTTTTCATTTGTGTGAGAAGCTACTGCTTCTCCAATAACTCTCCCTTCTCCCTTTCCCTCTGCCTCTCCCTCTCCCCATCTCTCCTCCTGTACTTGGCTCTCCCTTACTCTCTCCTCCTGTGTGTATGTCTCCCTCACTGTTTCCCCATCTCTATTCCTTGCTCCTCTCATGGCTTTCCTCTACCTCTTTCCCCACCTGCGTCTCTATCTCCCCATGCCTCTCTCTCCCCACTGTCTCCCTGTCCTTCTGCCCCCCGCATCGCTGTGTCCCCTCCTCCCTCCCACAGTTCTTCGTCCTGTGCCACAGCCTGCTGCAGCTGGCACAGCTCATGATCTCCGGCTACCTCAAGAGCTCCATCTCCACGGTGGAGAAGCGCTTTGGCCTCTCCAGCCAGACCTCGGGGCTGCTGGCTGCCTTCAACGAGGTACTGGCCCCACCTCAGCCCCAGGGTGGGTGGGAGGTGGACTCGCACTCCCATCAACCCCCATCCTCCCCTCTCACTGGTCCAACATACATCCTTTCTCTCCCAGGATCTGCAGGCTGCCCCATCACAGCGTTGTCTTGGCCAATGAGGGACAAGCCACATGTTAGGACAAGGCCCAATGAGAAGACCTCCCCTCCCTGCACAGTCACAGGATAGGCAATCCTGCCTGGGGGGGCCCTTTGGTGGGGCTGTTTGAGAGCTAGCTCCTGTCTCCATAGCCACTCCTTTCCCTTTGATTCCCTTTCCTTTTTGGGCACCTGGCTGTTGCCAGTCCCAGGAAAGGATCAGAGGAAGTTATTGCAACGGCAGTGAGAGAGGGTTACGTTAGATCAGAGGCAGAACTTTGGAACCTTAGGGCGGCTGGGGAGAGGTTGATACCAGAGCAGGCTGTACTGAGCTCAGAGTTGCCCAGGGATCCAGGGCTTCTGCCTGGGAGGAGTCAATAAACGGCTTTGTGTGGATTTGGAGATCAGAGTCCAGGCGTGCCAGCCGCTCCCCCACCAGATGTCTGGAGAAGGCTTTTGTCCAGAAGTTACTCTCACTTCCCAGTCCCAGCAGATTCCTGTGAGCTCCTCTCCCCGCTGGGCAGGCAGCGATGTGTCACATTCCTCCCAAACCCAGTTTGCCAGCTCCACAGCGTTCCCAGATGTTCCTTACGCCCACCTCCAGGCCTCAGGGGAGGGGAAGAGAGAAGACAATGGTCTAGCTCTGGGACCCTGGTCAAGCCACTGTCTCTGGGCCTCCGTGTCCCATCTCTACAGCGGAGAGCGGCTGCCCTTCTGTTGTAGGTGGCGGGGAGGGTGCCAGGTGTTAGACCGGTGGGGACAGACCACACCTGGCTTCAGCAACCTTGGTGCTTGGGTTCTGGTTAGGAAAGAATTCAGAGCCGAGACTCCAACAATAAGAGAACATTTATTTGGTAAATCACAGAGGTAGAAAAGGTAATTCCTAGAAGAAATGGGCTTGGGAAACAAGTTGCAGAGATAAAGGAAGGGCCCTTGGAGCTTGGGAGTGAGGAAACCAATGGTAACTCGCCTGGAGAGGAGGGGGAGAGGGAGAAGAAAAGGGGAGGGAAAGAGTGAGGAAGTGCTCCTGGGAGGGAGATTGGGCTGGGTCTTCCAGCCAAAGGGTTTAAGGGTGGAGATTTTAGGGGTAGTCTGGGGGGAGATCTCAATAGAATACTCAGCAGCTTTCCAGGTGTCCTTCCAGGATCTAGTCTCCACTGATTGGTTGGCACCACGGCCGAAGGGTCATTATCCAATGCAGTCGGTCCTGAGGGCAGCCAGGGGATTGCTGGTCTGGTTTTGATGCTTTTCTGGGCCTGGAGCTGAAATACAAATGAGGCCTCCTTGTTATCTCTAGTGAGGAAGGGTGAGGGGGGTCAAACCATATGACCTTCTCCACACAGCTGGTGGAGGAGCAGCTGGCACAGCTGGACTCTGATCTCCAAATCCATACAAAGCACTTTATCCAAATCCACCCTACATTTGTCCTTTGTTAGGCTTTCCACCTGGTGACCTGTTCCTGGCCCATCGTCCTTCTCTGCTCACATCTGTCTAACTGCCTACCACACCTCTCAGGGTCAGCTGTCCTCCCAGCCCTCTTCTGATATTGCCCCACTCCACCAGCAAGGAGCCCGGGGCTGGGGGTGAAGACCTCACCCACGGTCAGCAGCTGGGAAGCAGTAGAGTGGGATACAGATGCTGGCATAGGAGCCTGCTCTCTACTTTCAAGCTCTTGTCCCTCCAGTGCCCATATCCTAGGATTTTGATTCCAAGGTTCAAAATTCCAAGCCTTAGTCATTGTTATTTGTTTCTCTCATTCATGGCACCTCAGAAATCAGAACCCTTTTCCTTCATACTCTAATCCGGCAGTGACTTTCAACCTTTTCATCTCAGGACGCTCATAAACTAAAATTCTGGGGCACACCTGCTGAACATCGCTGTAATATGGGATCCAACCCATGTTTCAGAATGGGTTTGAACTTCTGACCTTGTCCACTCTTCCCTCATTTCTCTCCCCTAATAGGGTAGTGATCCTTTCCTAGGAGGGCCCAGAATCTGGTTCTTATTTAGTCTACCAGTCCATTATACAGATGGGAACACTGGGGTTGGCGATAGAGGCATGGACGGTGTAGACCCCCCAGCTCTGGGTTCTGCTCCACTTTAACGGGTCCCCTCATCCTTCTGCAGGTGGGGAACACAGTCCTGATTGTGTTTGTGAGCTATTTTGGCAGCAGGGTACACCGGCCCCGACTGATCGGCTGTGGGGCCATCCTTGTGGCCCTGGCGGGCCTGCTCATGACCCTCCCACACTTCATCTCGGAGCCCTACCACTACGACCGCACCAGCCCCGGTAAGAGCGGGAGAGGCCGGGCAGGAGGTGGGCATGGGGAAACAGCATTCCAGTGCACCCGGGCCCTTCCCCAGGCCTCCATTCTGGCCTCACTTCCCAGGGCGCTTCCCCGCCCCACCCCCACCACCTCCCTCATCCCAGCGTGGTCCTGGGGTGTGGGGTAGGGTGCAGTCCTAGGGCAAAGCTCTCTGGGCTAGTCTTGGTGAGGGCCTGTTTGTATGTCACTGCTTCTTTTGGGGCAAATTCATACCATAGTCTGCGTTGGGGCCTGACAGTAGCAGGTCCTCAGGCAATGCCTGTGGAATAATCACAGCATCACACACCTCTTACTATGTATGCACTAGACACTGTTCTAAGCACTTTGCATGTATGTATTCATGCATTTAATCTTCACAAGAAGCCAACGTGCTGATGAAAGAAAGAATGAGTGAGTGAAGAAGCAAACTGAAAAATGAAGACTTTCAGACAGGAATAGTGAAGCCCCTGTTCAGCCCACTGGGATTTTGTCAAAGGCCTACTGGACAGATGCACGCCTGTTCCTTAGAGAACAGCCCAAGCAGCCTTAGCATTTGCTCATTCCTTCTTTCTCCCATCCACCTGTTTACCCATCCATCCACCTCCCCACCCCCTACCCCACATTTTACAACGCTCTGAGCAGGTGCTATCACCCTATTTTACAATCGAGGGAACTGAAGCTCAGGGAGAGCGGGAGGGACTCCCCCAAGGCACACAGCTGCCAGAGCTATGCCACGCCCAGGTAGCCGGGCCCTAGAACCCTTGCTCTGAATTACTGAATTATTCTGGTTCTGAATTCTGCATTTCTGTAGAGTTTCCATAGTAGGAGGCTTTTGAAAAATGAGATGGAGGCGCAGAGGGCTGAAAAGGGTCACTGTCTTCAGCCCAAGCAGCCTCGGTGTGTTGTAGGTGGCGGGAACGGCACCAGGTGTTAGACTGGTGGGGTCAGACCAGACCTGGGTTTAGCAACCTTGGTGCTTGGGTTCTGCCTAGGAAAGAATTCAGAGCCACGACTAAAGCTGTAAGAGAACATTTATTTGGTAAATCACAGAGGTAGAAGAAGTAATTTCTAGAAGAAATGGGCTTAGGAAATAAGTTATGGAGGTAAAGGATGGGCCCTTGGAGCTTGGGAGTGAGGAAGCTAATGGGAGCACATGGTGGGGAGGGGGGAGGCTGAGAGGCGGAAAGGGAAAGGCGTAGGCATGCTCCCCGAAAGGAGAGCTGTGCTGGGTCCTCCTTCCTAAGGGTCTAAGGGTGGAGATTTTAGGGGAGGTCCCAGGGGATGATATACATATACATATACATATATACATACCAGAGTCCCGGTGCATGGATTCGCGAAAGTGGCTCTCTGACATCCCCCGAGGGGTCCCAGATTGCTGAGGGACCCCATCAGTGTATGGATCCGGGCCTCTAGTATGCATATAAGATCTTTGGCTAATCTCTTCCTGCCCTCCCTCCAACCCCCTTCCCTCTGAGATTCATCAGTCTGTTCCATGTTTCCATGCCTATGTGTTGAGCATCTACCCCCTAGTGGTCAGTGAGTATCATAGCTACTGGTTGAAAGGTCAAACAGTCAAGCAGGCACTTAGGCTTTTATATATATAAACATTTTATTGATTTCAGAGAGGAAGGGAGAGGGAGAGAGAGACAGAAATATCAATGATGAGAGAGAATCATGGATCAGCTGCCTCCTGCATAGCCCCACACTAGGGATCAATCCTGCAACATGGGCATGTGTTTGACCAGGAATTGAACCGGCACCTCCTGGTTGATAGGTCAATTCTCAACCACTGAGCCACACCAGCTAGACTACAGTATTTTCTATCTGGCCCTTACCAAAAAAGCGTTTGATGACTTAAAATTGAGACTTGCCCTTGCTCTTGAAGGGCAAGTCAGGTGAGAAAAATGGGAAGCAGTTGGTTGTCAGTCAAGGTAGGCTGGAGCCAGCAAAGCCCGGCTGGAGAGCAGAGTATTAGTTTCAGGCGTTTGGGGAGTGGGTGACAAACTACCCCAGCTGGGTGGCTCAAACAGAAGTTCTCTCCCCTATTTGGAGGCTGGAAGTCCAGGACGAAAGTGTCCGCAGGGCTGGTTTCTCCTGAGGCCTCTCCTTGGCTCCTCCCTGTGTCCTCCGGTGGCTGTCCCTGCATGGGTATCTGTGTCCTAATCTCCTCTTATCAGGACCACTAATTCCCAGGGGCTGATCTTAACCAGACAGTCAGCAGCTTTCCAGGTGTGTCCTTTCAGGGTCTGGTTTCCACTGATTGATGGGCCAGCACCAAGGCAGGGGTCATTATTCAGTGCAGCTGGTCCTGAGGTCAGCCGTGGAGTTGCTGGTCTGATTTTGTTTCTTTCCTGGGCCTGAAGCTAAAATACAACTGAGGCCGAGATGTTAACTCTAGGGAGGAAAGGTGAGGGGGTCCAAACCTCATGACCATCGATATGCTAGGGGAGGAAAGGTTACCCTGGGGGCGAGGTCCCACCCTGCAATCATCCTTTGCTAGGTACCTGGGGCTTTCCGCCCTGGTGACCTTCTGTACCTGGCCCACTGTCCTCGCTCTGCCCATGTCTGTCTAACTGCCTACCACAGATGGAATGTCTGGATTGTTAACCTGGGTTCATGCAGCTTTTCCTCAGCCCCAGTTCCTGAAAAGGGCTGGACAGGCCGCGGAGGGAGGGCCACTTCTGCACCCACATTTGGGATAATAATAGCATGAGGGTCTTAAGTTTGCTCACCAAATATTGGTTAGCTACGGGGAACAAATGTCTGGAACTAAATTAAGAAATGCCCTTTCACTGCACTCTGCCTCTGTGTCCCGAGCTGACACGGAGCCCTCCTCAGAATGAAGGCCAAGGGTCCTAGAACCCTCCACAATCCAGCCCCCGCATCCCGCCCCTGCCAGCCCGACCTTCAGCCCTGGCCTTGCTCCTCACACTCTGGGGCCAGCGGTGCTGAGCTTCCTAAGCCCCGGGCCTGCAATGCACTGTGACCTGGAATAGCCCTCCCCAAGTTCTTTTTCTGGAAAATCTTGTTTGTTCCTCTCAACCCAGTTCAAACTTGACCTCCTCTGACAGCCCCACCCCACGCGAGAGCACACACCTCTGCCCAGAAAGGTAGCGTAGGGCACTTTAAGAGCAAGGACTCAAAGCAGGGCTGCCTGGGTTTGGATCCTGACCCCACCCTTGCTAGTTGCTGCCTGAGCATCAGTGTCCTCACCTGTGAACTCAGGGTAATGAAAGCAATCCTCCCTGAGGTTCACTGTGATGGAAATACACAAGCTCTTAGATCAGTACCTTGTATAAAAGCCTTAGCTGTTGTCATCCTATTTTCAACGCCTCTCAGGGGACCTGCCACAGGACTCAGAAGCTTCCCTGTGCCTGACCACAACCTCAGGCCCTGCCCCGACCCCCTCCAACGGCAGCAGCTGTTCCAGCTCCTCGGAGGCCCAGCATCTGACCGCGGTGGGAATCATGTTCCTGGCACAGACCCTGCTCGGGGTGGGCGGTGTGCCCATCCAGCCCTTCGGCATCTCCTATATCGATGACTTTGCCCATGACAACAACTCTCCCCTTTACCTCGGTGAGGAGTGGTACCACCCTCCGGGCTCTGAGGGAGGGCCAGGCTCAGGGGAGAGGACCAGAGGCCTGGAGTGAGGGGGGTCGGGGCCATGGGAACCAGCCTCTGCCCCATGTGACCAGTGGAAGTTCAGAGTAGCCCTGGGAAATTTCTGGGCTCCACCCGGGGAGATAGGCTGCTCTTGCACAGCGGGCACTGACCTGCAGGGAAGCCAGGGTCAGAGTGGCCTCACCTACGCTTTATGTTGCAGGGTTCCTGTTTGCTGTGACAATGATGGGGCCGGGCATGGCCTACGGGCTGGGTGGCCTCATGCTGCGCCTTTATGTGGACATTGACCGGATGCCAGAAGGTGAGCCTCAGGGCCACACAGCTGCCCCCAGGGGCACGTGGTTGCTAGCTAACTGCCTGCTGGTCTCCCAGGAGACACGGAGCCAGGCATTCCAGGTCCAGATCCCAGCAATTCTGCTGACCTTGGATATGTTTCTTAACCTCTCTTTTTTCTCATCTTTGAGAGAGTCTCTGTCCTGCTTACCTCCCAAAGGTGCAATCAGAACCCAGTGAGATAAGCTGTGAAGCACCACCAGATAAGGAACTAGGATTGTTGTCACTGTTGTTCTCACGCCTTCACCCTGTTCCATCCCTGATCGCCCCCCTCCTTGTTCCCAGCCCTGTGGGCAGACAGGGGTGCATACTCTCTTAGCCCTTGGGGAGCTCCCTTCCTTAGGGGGAGAAGACGCAGGCGAAGCAGAGAGGACACTGGAGCGTCAGAGAAAGTGTTTGGTGCAGGACTCCATTCCCTTGGGCCTCTCTCCGATGAATTTCCTAGGTGGCCTCTAAGGACCCTTCTCGTTCTGATCACCTTCCCATCCTACCCCATCAATGGGAACCTGTGTCGAGGGCACCATTTGGGGAACAGTGGTCTCTGACCCAGGTAGTGGTCAGAGTGGGCCAAGTGTGTGTGTGTGGGGGGACTGGAGCTTGGTATGAAGGCAACCAAGAGGGAGGAGTTTGCGGGGGTGGAGGTGGGGGTGCCGGGGGGTCCTGATGCTCTTGGACCCTACGGGGAGTGGGAAAACATTCCTTTATTATAGAACAGGTCACTGTGGCATCTCAGCTGCCTGCTTGTCACACCAAGCAGTTCTGAGCCCCAGCTATGCCTTCTGCCTTCTGCTGTTCAGAAGTCCTGTCCCTTGCCTGGAGATTTCCCAGGAAGCACGAGAAGCCTCAGTGATAGACGCACACTTAGGTGGACATGCAGATTCTGCTCTTCCTCTCTGGTTCTGTTCAATGATGCTCCAGCCAGGACAGGTCTGGGCAGCTCTGAACAAAATAGCCCCTCCCTACCCACCACACCTCCCTTTCTGCTAGAAAACAGGGCCTGGGAGCCAAGTGGGACCTCTGGTTAGCACTCAGCGCTCTCTCTTGTGGGAGTCAGGCCTCCCTCGGTTCCTAAGACACACCCCAGCCCTTTTGACATCATCCTGCAGAGGTGGCACCTCCACAGAGAGATGTGAATTCCTAATCCTTTTTTCTCTCTGGAGAATTTCATGGGGTGGGTGGATCATGTCCGATGCAGGCACAGACTGGTATGTGAGAAGTGGAGGAGTTGGGGAGAGACATGAGTTTCACCTGGCACAGAAACTGGGGGAATAATAAGTGGAGGAGGGCATCAGTGCTAAAGCCAACTCCATCCCAGTTTTACTGATTTGGTGAGTGTCAACTGTGCACTCTGGCCTCTGCCCAGGAGACACTCGGGATCGATTACCTGGGAGCCAGTCTGACTCATGGGGCTGCATCCAACTGTAATAATAAAAGGGTAATAAATATGCTAATTAGAATGGATGTCCTTCTGGACGATCTTACAGACAAAGCCAGGGCTATGAGGGAAGCTGGTACCGGCAGCCAAGGAAAGGAAGGCCTACTCTTGCACGAATTTTGTGCATCAGACCTATCGTGTTATTATAAAGTGTTTGCAGATACTGTGGCAATTGAAGGAGGAGGGACCCAACCCAGCCTTGGGGTCAAGAGTTTTGATGGGGGGATGTGGGCACTTTAGACAAGAGTTACATCTGGGATAATATAGTCCTAATTACACCTGGTGGAAGATCAAAATCACCTGAGGGACTTATTAAAGGTACAGATTCCTTGGTCACCTTCCCACCCCACCCCATGATATTTCTAAGTTAATTTTAGGTCACACCAGGTATTTTTGATAAGCATCTCTGGTGATTTTAATCGTCCTGAATATCTGAGAACCACAAGAGTAGTCCTAACCATCAATTTATATATATAAAAACCTAATATGTAAAGTATCTCCTCTGCAGTTTGATCACTCACTATGATGTGCACTGATCACCAGGGGGCAGCATGAAACAAAGGAAGGCCCCAGCCAGCAGCCAGCATCCACTAGGGACCCTACCCATACACAGGTTTTGTGCACTGAGCCTCTAATTTAATAATAATAATAATAATAATAATAATTAGAGTAACAGTAAAATGGAGAAGTGCAAACACTTATATAGAACATACTGTGTGCCAGTACTATTCTAAGTGCTTTTTACATATATTTATTTCTATGATTCTCACAACCCTCTGATGTATGTACTACTAATATCAGTATTTTACAGAGGAAGAAACTGAGGCACAAAGAGGTTAAGTAACTTACCCAAAGTTATGTTAGTAATGGAATTCAGACCCAGAGTCCATTTCCAAAGTCCATGACCTTGACCATTATACATGTTGCTTTCATAGTTGAAAAAGCCAAGGCCCAAATGGTCAGGGACTTGCCCAAAATCATGCAGGACATAAATGGCAGCGCCAGGATCATAATCTAGGTCTCCTGACTTCCTCCTAGGCAACCTTATGCCTCAGAGGTCAATCCAAGGGAGGTGGCCTGGAATCGAGGGTCCATCTTGAACCTCATATCATCATGGTCTTCTCTTCCAGGTGGCATCAACTTGACCTCGAAGGACCCCCGATGGGTGGGTGCCTGGTGGCTGGGCTTCCTCATCTCTGCTGTTGCCGTGGCCCTGGCTGCCACGCCCTACTTCTTCTTCCCCAGGGAGATGGCCAAGGAGAAAGATGAGCTTCACTTCCGGCGAAGGGTCTTGGCAATCGTCAGCAAAGTAAGCTCCCTCTATGTCTCCACCTTGGTCCAGGCTCAAGCCCCCACTGGTGTGTCCTCCTATGTAACGTTAAACGTCATCCCTCCTGGGCACTGCACAGTTACAAAGCCACTCCTGCTGTGTTCCTCTGCATCCCCCCAATAGCCCCGAGCAGGGAGCATTTCCTGCCCCTCCCACAGCTGAGGAGGTCAAGGGCCGGAGATGGAAGTGACCTGCCCAAGATTACAGATTTTATTTGCTCTGAGATTTTGTACATTCATTGTGTTCTTTCCCCAAGTATAGGAGTGTGAAAGAATAGCACTGCTGTGTTTCTCCTTTACTCATACATACACTTCTGTGACCACATCCCCTGCAGCATCTGCTGGGCATCCTAAAACTTCACTTCATTCCCTCTACCAGGAGATAGCGTCAGACCCCATCGCTGAAGGGCTCCGTCTCACAAGACTGCCCCGCTTTAGAGGCCAATCACAAGGAGCAGGTCCCCCACCGCTTCTTTCCAACTTGGCTGCAGACCAGAGGTTCCCACACGCCCTCCTTGGATTCAGTGATTTGCTAGGATTTCCCTTACTCAGGGAAACATGTTTATCAGTTTATTACATAATAAAGGATATGATAAGGATACAGGTGAATGGCTAGATGAAGAGATACATAGGCAAGGTCTGCGAGGGTCCCCGGTGCAGGAGCTGCTGACCATGTGGAGTTGAGGTGTGCCGGCGGATGAGTTCCCGGCCTGGAAGACCCCCCACACCCACATTGTTGGGAGGCTGCAGCAAGGAGCACAATCTGTTATTAACTCCGTTCCCAGCCCCTCTCCCCTCTCTGAAGAGTGGAAGGATGGGGCTGATGTACCAAGTGTCTCATCATCACTTGGTCCATCTGTGACTAGCCATCACCTAAAACCCCACTAACGTCTTCTGTTCAAAACAAAAGATGCTCCTATCAACCCAGGAAATTCCAAAGATCCTAGGAGCTGTGTGTCTGGAACCAGGGCCAAAGACTACATGTTAGAACAAACAATGTTCCTAGCACGCCTGTTTACAAATGTCTTAGGAGCTCTGCAACAGGAACGGGGGATGGAGACCTGTGTATGTATAACATACACAATATAAAATACATACATAATTATTTCACAGGGAAGTCATTGGTGATAAATCACAAGCATAAATTAAGTCAGTTGATAAGTAGTTCTGATTTCAAAGGGACATTTATAAAAAAATAAAACCCATGTTGAATATTTTGCATCAAGAATAATTCTATTTAAGTGGCAGGTTGGTGCATTTATGCTATCGCCTCCTTCTCAGAGCAAGAAAGTTTGGGCCTATGATCAAGGACTGAAAACCTCTCTGCCTAGAAAAGCTGGGATTTGACCCCAAGTCTCTCTGACCGCAGCCCAGGCTTCTGTAAGCACCTTCCCGCCTCACCCCCCTGCTGGAGCACAGGGTGTATGTGTGGGGCCCCAAGAAAAAGGATGTTGGAACTGCCAGCAGGGGCCAGACCAGGAGGAACCTTGCCTGCCTGTCAGCTTCAACAGCAGCAGGTGGCCCAGGAGGGTAGGCAGGGGTCCTGTGGCTCTCGGCAGAGACCGAGCTGCAACAGGCAGTGAAGCCTGTGGAGAGAGGAGCTGCAGGCCGGGAGGCTGAGGTGGCGGTCATGACGTTGGCCTGGGAGCTACCAGTGCACGGGCAGTAAGGGAGGGGGGTATGGGAACGAGCCCAGGAGACACCCAGGGGCACTGCTCTGCTGTGGGGTGTCCCAGAGACAGTGAAGGGCTGAGCTGATGCTGGATCAGAGTCAGGGGAGGCACGTGACGCGCTGGAGAGGGAGCAGTTTCGGGGAAAGGGAAAGCTTGGAACCACATATGGTCCTTCCCGGTTCTGCCAAGCCCAGGTCAAAATCTGAATGAGCTAGAATTCCTAGAACTGGGGGAAGAGTTCTTAGAAGTGAGAGTGAACACAGAGGAAAGGGAGAGCCTGGGTCGCTGCATATGGACAATCTCCAAGCTGAGTCTTAATACAGAACGGAAAGAATGGCTACGTGGGCGTTGGATTCGGTAGAAGAGATTTAATTATGCTGGGCTCAGTCTCATGTTGAGACTTATCATGTTCTGTCGTGGAAGTTGCTGAGGTTGGATCCCTGGAGCATACATATTCTGTGCACCCGGCTTCTGAGAATGCGTGATTCTTTGGGTTGAAGCTGCTGTGAGGCAGAGATTTGGATGTTAAGAGGTCTGTGTCTGTGATGCCTTGAAAACCCGGTCCCCAGGATGTGAACTTGCCTGGCTGTCTGGATTCATTCTGTCGGTGCTTTGGGGATGAGTAGGGAGGGAAGGGGATGAGAGGTTCTTAAAAAAGAACCAAAGGCTGAGAACATGAAGATCTGCTTCCAGCAGCTCTCAGGCAATAAATATTGATGTGGGAGGAATTGTTCCCCTGCCTCCTGAGGCTGCCTTGACTGTGTCTGCTTAAGTTCCTGGGGCTGGCCCCGCTCGCTCAGGCCGCTGATGGGGAGGTGGATGGACCAGGAGGAAGGGCCCCGTGAGGTGGAATCGGCTGCATGGGATGTGTTATCTTCTGCAGGGTGTGGGGATTGACAGGGGGAGAGAGTGAAGGAAAGATTACTTCTGAAATCCCTTCCAGTATTCCTTCCCAGGTTGAGGGGTCCCCTAAAACTCTTCTACAACTAAATGCAGTTTCTCATGATACCCAGGAGACGGTGGGATGGAGTACAAGGATTGTATGACCCAGAGAAGGTCTCTGAACTGAGTTTCACTTCAATTGGACAGTTCTACTTTTATGTATTTTTATTTCAGTCTTTTGAGTGAGATTTTAATTGGGAAAAGGGTTCTGTTGCTAAAGACCAGTTTTTAAAAAAAAACACACTTATCTAGTCCAGTACCCCCATTTGACTGAGGAAGAGACTGAGGCTGAAGAAGAGAGGTGATTGGCGGCTGATGTGGCCCAAAAGACACCAGTGGGGGCAGAAGTCAGACACGTGGTTTGTGCACCATAGTGACCCGGCGTGAATCCTGGCTCTGACACTTACTGACTCTGGAATCTATAAAATGGGTATAGTCAGCTCTAGCCGGTTTGTCTCAGTGGATAGAGCATCAGCCTGTGGACTGAAGGGTCTTGGGTTCGATTCCGGTCAAGGGCACTTACCTCAGTTGCAGGCTCCTCTCTCGTCCAGGCCCTGGTTGGGGGCTCATGCAGGAGGCAACCAATTGATGTGTTTCTCTCACATTGATGTTTCTCTCTGTCTTCCCCTCTCTCTTCCACTCTTTCTAAAAATCAATGGGAAAAAAATGTCCTCGGGTGAGGATTAAAAGCATAAGTAAATAAGTAAAATAAAATGGGTATAATCATAAAATCTCCATCTTGAGTTTTTTGGAAGAATGAAATAAGGCAAAGCGGTGAGGTAGGCAGTTAATGCCTGATACGAGGGTTTAATAACCAGGAGCACTTGTGCTCAGTGTCTTTCTCTGATCAGGCCAACTCTTCAGAGGAAACACAGTGGAAAATTACCTTTTCTTCTAGTTCTCTTTTTGTAGACTTTTCTATGTTCTACTTTCACTATATTCCATAGAAGGTTTAAGACAGCTTACAACAAACACGTGTGCAGTACTAGTAAACAAAGGGGAAATTAGGCTAATGTGTATTGCTTACTTTGTACCATGTGCTGCTCTAAGCCCTTGATGTATTCCCCCATTTAATTTATATATATATATATATATATATATATATATATATATATATATATTATTGATTTTTTACAGAGAGGAAGAGAAAGGGATAGAGAGTTAGAAACATCAATGAGAGAGAATCATCAATCAGCTGCCTCCTGCACAACCTCCACTGGGGATGTGCCCGCAACTAAGGTACATGCCCTTGACCGGAATCGAACCTGGGACTTTTCAGTCACAGGCTGATGCTCTATCCATTGAGCCAAACCGGTTTTGGCTCCCATTTAATCTTCATTACCCACCTATGAAATAGGGTTAGTTACTATCCCCAGTTTACACCCGAGGGACCGAGTCACAGAGGGATTAAATAGCCTTATCACATGACTAGTGAATGTTGACTCTTGGATCCAGACCCAGGAAGAGCATTGCCACAGCTCAATCAAGGCCAAAAAGCAGGAAAACAGAAATAACAGAAAAAGGTTATCAGACTTAGAAAAAAACATCAAAGTGTGACCAGCCAGCATAGCTCAGCGGTTGAGCACCGACCTGTGAACCAGAAGGTCATGGGGTTGTGGGCATGATCCCCAGTGTGGGGCGTGCAGGAGGCAGCCGATCAATGATTCTCTCTCACTATTGATGTTTCTCTTTCTTCCTCTCCTTTCCTCTCTGAAATAAAAAAAAAAAAAAATACATTTAAAATAAAAATAAAAAAGAGAGAGAGAAACATGGAAGTGTGGAACATAAAGTCAGTTCATGTCATTGAGCCTCTTGCTTGTTTCTGAGCTTTCTGGCAGCCAAAGGGAAAGAGAAGCGTGGCCAGGTGCATGAATCTCATGATAAGAAAGCCAGAGCATGTTTGCTCCTCACGGAAGTTCAGATCCCCAGGCACTCTGCTACAAACCACAGCCTCCCTCCTGTTGGGAAAAGGAATTTTAATGGATACCCCATCCCTGTGGCTGCTTTCTGTGGCCACACATGATGGAAGCTGAGGGCTGACAGAGGTTCTGTATCCCTTGCCAGGCTCAGCCTTGGCTCCCGGGAGCTGGGGACACAGCTCCGGGCCAGAACCTCCTAGGATTCCAGCTTCCCTTGAGGACAGCTCCTGGAAATCCCTGTAGCCCGGCAGACAGGGGGGCCTTCCATGCACCAGGCCACACAGTGTCCCATGCCCTGCAGGCTTGCAGCAGTCAGCACCACACAGCCCCAGGAAGGGAAATGCTAACCAGCTCTCAGCCCAGCCTGCTGACCTGGGCAAACCACAGCCAGATGGGTCGGACTCCGAGCCCTGCTCTGAGCAGAGGCATGTTTCCTGTTTCTGGAG